GAGGGCCGGGGATGGAGGTGGAGCCGGGGATGGGGATGGAGGTGGTGGGGTCAAGTTGGAGTGGGGATGGAGGTGGAGGGCCGGGGATGGAGGTGGAGCCGGGGATGGGGATGGAGGTGGTGGGGTCAAGTTGGAGTGGGGATGGAGGTGGAGGGATGGAGGCGGTGGGAGTGGAGCTGGGAATGGAGGTGGAGCCGGGGATGGGGATGGAAGTGGTGGGGTCAAGTTGGAGTGTGGATGGAGGTGGAGGGAGGCAGAGTGGAGCCGGGGATGGAGGTGGAGCCGGGGATGGGGATGGAGGTGGTGGGGTCAAGTTGGAGTGGGGATGGAGGTGGAGGGGTCGGGGATGGAGGTGGTGAGGGAGAGCGGCGTCGGGGATGGAGGTGTGGGGGAGTGGAGCCGGCGATGGGGGATGGGGATGGAGGTGGTGGGGGAGTGGAGCCGGGGATGGGGGATGGAGGTGTGGAGGTGGTGAGGCAGAGTGGAGCCGGGGGGGAGTGGAGCCGGGGATGGGGATGGAGGTGGTAGAGTGGAGCCGGGGATGGAGGTGGTGGAGGAGTGGAGCCGGGGATGGGGATGGAGGCGGCCGCCAGAGTGGCATGTCACGGACTTGTTCTCGGAGTTGCCGGCTTTAGCTCAACCCCAGGTTTCGTGCCAGAGCAACTTGGTGGGCAGGCGGCAGGCTGCGGATTCACGCAGGTGTGACATGTGGCATCAGGCAACAAGACAGTTTTTAAACAGTTTTTTACGTAAGGGGTAATTAAAAATTCCTGGCACCGACGCATGAGCCTAGAAGAGATTGCCCCGCCATGCGCCGACTTCATGGAAGGGAGCGGGAGGGCTAGAGGTGATGGGGATGGAGGTGGTGGGGTCAAGTTGGAGCGGGGATGGAGTGGGCATGGAGGTGTGGGGGATGGAGGTGGTGGGGTAGAGTTGAGCCGGGGATGGAGGTGGCAGGGAGGTGGGTCAAGTTGGAGTCGGGATGGAGGTGGAGGGCTAGAGTGGAGCCGAGCCGGGGATGGGGATGGGGTGTCAAGTTGGAGTGGGGATGGACGGTGGAGTTGAGCTGGGGATGGAGGTGGTGGGGTAGAGTGGAGCCGGGGATGGGGGTGGAGATGGAGGTGGAGGGCTAGAGCGGAGCCGGGCCAGGTCTGTGCTTTTTGGTTGTTGCTGGTTGGCTTGCAGTGCAGGTCTAGGCTTGGCTGTTGGGGTCGGGTGCTTTTTCTTATCGCGGTTGCTTGGTTGGCGGCTCCGGGTTGGCTAGCCGCCAAGGCCAGCTTTTGACACACCAGCTTTGTGTCTTGCAGCGTTTTCTATATAATATATACACATATATTCGGAACTCTTTGTGTGTTTGGGGCTGAGAGTGCTTGAGAGATTGAACGTGACCTGTGTCGCCGCGCCGAAGCCATCATTTGACCCACTGGACTTTGGTGCTTGTTTACTTGCCTTGTAGCAGAATGGGTTTTGCCAAGAACGGACCGGTGAGCCTTTCCTTTTCGATTGCGTTTGTGTGTGCGTTGTGCTCTTTTGTGTTTGCAGGCAGCAGAGAATTCGAACAGCGCTGAGCATAATGTAGCGGTGAGCTCTTTCTTTGGCGTGCTTCAAAAAATGTTGCGACTCGTCGAACTGCTGTTGTTTGCGAGCAGGCTGCGCGGGAGTACGTTGAGGACCAAGTGCGCCGCTTGAGCGGTGTTTTGAGCCTCTATGGCCTCATCCCTTTCCTATGTGGACCCACCATACACCCACCCACCACCCACCACCATACACCCACCCACCATACACCCACCCACCATACACCCACCCACCACACACCCACCCACCATACACCCACCCACCATACACCCACCCACCATACACCCACCCACCATACACCCACCTACCATACACCCACCCACCATACGCCCACCCACCATACACCCGCACCCACCCACCATACACCCACACCCACCCACCATACACCCACCCACCATACACCCACCCACCATAAAACCAAACAAACAAACAAACAAACAAAAAACAAACACAAACACAAACACAAACACAAACACAAACACACACACACAACACACAACACACAAACACAACACACAACACACAAACACAACACACACACACACACAACACACACACACACACACACACACACACACACACACACACACACACACACACACACACACACACACACACACACACACACACACACACACACACGTCTGTGTGTGTGTGTGTTTGTTTTTTTGTTTGTTTGTTATGCCACTTTTAGGTTTGGACTCGATCACCCCTCATCCAGCATGCCTTCTGGTCCGTCGCCTGCTCGAGTCCTCTTCGAGAAGCTGGCCGACGACTTCAAGTTCGACCGCAAGTTTTTGGAGAAGTTGGAAACCCTCCACGACTTCCGGCACTATGTCACAGCGGAGGACGAGTTGGAGAAGGCTTTCATCGAGAACGTGGCTGACCTCCCTCAGCCGCGTGTCCAGCTGGCACGGGTGAGGCACGCCTGGGCCAGCTGTGTGGCTGAGGCCAAGGCGGGTGTTTTTGTTTGTTTGTTTTTTGTTTGTTTGTTTGTTTGATGTTTGTCTGTTTGTTTGTTTGCTTGCTTGTTTGTTTGTTTGTTTGTTTGTTTGTTTGATGTTTGTCTGTTTGTTTGTTTGCTTGCTTGCTTGTTTGTTTGTTTGTTTGTTTGTTTGTGTGCGTGTGTGTTTGTGTGTGTTTGTGTGTTTGTGTGTGTGTGTGTTTGTGTGTTTGTGTGTGGTTGTGTGTGTGTGTGTTGGTGTTTGTGTGTGTTTGTGTCTTTGTGTCTTTGTGTCGTTGTGTGTTTGTCTTTGTGTTTTGTGTCTTTGTTTGTTTGCTTGCTTGCTTGTTTGTTTGTTTGTTTGTTTGTTTGTGTGCGTGTGTGTTTGTGTGTGTTTGTGTGTTTGTGTGTGTGTGTGTTTGTGTGTTTGTGTGTGGTTGTGTGTGTGTGTGTTGGTGTTTGTGTGTGTTTGTGTCTTTGTGTCTTTGTGTCGTTGTGTCGTTGTGTCTTTGTGTTTTGTGTCTTGTGTGTTTGCGTGATGTGTTTGTGTGTTTGTGTGTTTGTGTGTTTGTGTGTTTGTGTGTTTGTGTGTTTGTGTGTTTGTGTGTGTGTGTGTGTGTGTGTGTGTGTGTGTGTGTGTGTGTGTGTGTGTGTGTGTGTGTGTGTGTGTGTGTGTGTGTGTGTGTGTGTGTGTGTGTGTGTGTGTGTGTGTGTGTGTGTGTTGTGTGTGTGTGTGTGTGTGTGTGTGTGTGTGTGTGTGTGTGTGTGTTGTGTTTGTGTTTGTGTTTGTTTTTGTGTGTTTGTGTGTGTTTGTGTGTTTGTGTGTTTGTGTGTTTTGTGTGTTTGTGTGTTTGTGTGTTTGTGTGTGTGTGTGTTTGTGTGTGTGTGTGTGTGTGTGTGTGTTTGTGTGTGTGTGTGTGTGTGTGTGTTTGTGTGTGTTTGTGTGTGTGTGTGTGTGTGTGTGTGTTTGTGTGTGTTTGTGTGTGTTTGTGTGTGTTTGTGTGTGTTTGTGTGTGTGTGTGTTTGTGTGTGTTTGTGTGTATGTTTGTGTGTGTGTGTGTGTGTTTGTGTGTGTTTGTGTGTGTGTGTGTTTGTGTGTGTGTGTGTGTTTTTGTGTGTTTGTGTGTTTGTGTGTTTGTGTGTTTGTGTGCTTGTGCTTGTGGCGACCCTTCGGCGTGTCCCGGAGCTCATCAAGAGCGAGAAAGGGAAAGGGCGTGGGTGGAATAGCCTCCGCCAGCGCTATCAGAGCGAGCCTCGCTGGGAAGACCTATGCTGCACAACAGCGGTGAAGATTCCGACTGTCCGATGCCCCAACAGGAGATGTGGCAATCGACAGATCGATGGATACCTCCACTGCCAGGAATGCAGGGCCGACATGGTGCAGTGGACCGACGCCAGAATCGCCACCGAGGTCGTGAGATTGGAACACACGGCTGCCCTGCAGAATATGGTCTTCTACCTTGAGGACCTGCAGGGAGGCGGCGGCTTGTGTGTGTGGCTGCGCGCATGTGTTTGTTGCGTTGCTCCGTCGAACTCCCAGGACCAATATCTTGGCGCGTCACGTTGATCTGTTTGCGCACATGGATTGTCAGGTGGAAAAATGGAGGTGGGGTATATTGAAAAGCTGCGATTGATAGTTAAGTGTGACTTCTCGACGCGCATGCTGAGTGGGCCGACATACCAGGTTGCGCCTCAAGTGGATCAGGTCCAAGCACCACGCCAAAGAGGGTGACAAGCGGGGAGGAATCTCGGCGCTTCCGACCCTTAGCTTGGCTATGCCGAACCAATCTTCAAAAGCTTTGAGCCAATTTGCTTCTTCGTTGTCATTGCGCATGGCAGCCGGGTCAAGCCTGAGCCTGCAGGTGTTCATTTCACATTTCAGGCTCTGAGCCAATTTGCAATCTGGCATCCATTGGTATGAGTAGAGTGGAGCCGGGAATGGAGGTGGTGGGGGTAGAGTTGAGCCGGGGATGGAGGTGGTGGGGTAGAGTGGAGGTAGAGTGAGCCGGGGATGGAGGTGGGGGAGAGGAGGCGGAGAGGAAGAGTAGAGTGGAGCTGGGGATGGAGGTGGTGGGAGCCAGGGCTGGAGGTCGTGGGGTAGAGTGGAGCCGGGGATGGAGGTGGTAGCCGGGGAGTAGCGGATTTTGAGTTTCTATTGTTTAATGAATAGTTATACTGTGGACAATCCGTTCGCACCACTTTGAAGACATGGGAGAACAGAGGGTGCAGGAAATCATTTTTCCCAGTGAAATCCAGTACATAGTAGGTAACCAGCCATTTTTCTTTTGGTATTTTGAAGAGTTGTTCCGATGGCTACCCAATATACTGGCAAATGGAATCACTGGAATTTTCAACCCAAAGTTATAAGGATCCAAAAACCCCCAACCCCCCTGCCCCCAACCCCCTTCCCTTGGTTTCCTCCAAATGAGTGTTCTTTTTGGATGCTACATGGTTCTCCTCTGGTGGCGAGCGGATCCGGTAGCTTCAGGTTGCTTTCCCGTAAGGACTTGCAATTGGGGTTGCCCGAGCCGTCATCCCAGTAATTTATACAAAGTAAGACCACCGGATTATCCCAAGATAATTATTAATGGAGCGCATTTATCAATAGAGTCAGCTTCCCGTATGGGTTTGTTTTGTTTTGGAGGTGTTCCGGGCTGGTTTCCCAGGTTCCCATCCACAAGTTTCGGGGCTTCGGATGTTCAGTCAATCCAAAGCCCCAAACTCCGACAGGCTGATAAGAGGGAGGCTCAGTTGTTGGTGATTGCTGTTTAATTTCTGGGTCCCATCCGGGGCAACTGAGGAAGGGGCCTAACAACTTCTTCCCGTTTTTGGGGGGATCGGGGACGGCGATCCCCAAGCGATGCTCCGATCCGACTGACCCGTGCCAGGTGTGGACGGGTCCATTCGCCGATGGCACGGCGCAGGGCTACTTGCGGCACTTGGACAATGTCCGGCAGCAAGGCGCGACACGCGCCCGGGACGCGGATGGGACGCGGGCCCACGCGGGGCCTGGGAAGGCCGTGGTGCGTGTGCACTCGGATAGGTTGGTTTTGGGGAGGTGGTTAGGGTGTTCGGGTCTGTTTTTGGCGGGAGTTCAGGGTTGGGGGGGCTAAGGGTTGGGGTGGGGGGAGGGTTAGGGGTCCTGGGTGGTTTTCAGGCATCCGGTGTTTGGGTTTCGATTTAGACGTTTAGCAGGTGGACTGAGGACAGATTGGCCAGCTAGGTCTGGGGTCCTCTTCCAGACCAAAGGCAAGTCACCGCTTGTGGGCTACTTCTCACCGCCTTGTAGGGATCCCCCCGAACACACCAACCTGTTTTAGGGTGGTGGGAAGAAAACACATATGACCAATGCTCAGGCGGATAATGCAACAACCCCTGCTGATGGTTTGAATTGTTTTGTGGCATGAGTGTGGGGAATGTGGGTTTCAAAGATTTCCGCTTTTGGCCACAGAAAAGTTCACAGAGCGGGTTTTTCAGCGCTTTGCCTACCTAGTGATTTTTGTGACTTTCTGCGGGGCTCCGCCTCAACTCCCCATTTCGGGGATTGGAAGTAGCTTCCTGGCACCTCCAAAATCCATGGCAGGGCATGTGGCTACCTTAGGAATCAGTGGAATCCCTATGGTTGCCTGAACTCCCTAACAACTTCACCAGAATTAGCTCTTTTTGTTTTTGCTTTTTTGGGGTCCCTTTGTTTTCCACTAACCAGGCAAACAATATGGTTTTTTGCTGGGGTCCTAGTTCCAGCCAAGACAAGTGTTCCTCACTTCCTGAGTTCCGTTTTGGACTTTAGTGTTCGGACCATTGGAGTGGTAAAGCTCGAAATTTGGATAGTTCTTGGCCAATCCTTCCTTTACCAGCCGGAAAGGCGAAACCCAGAAACTGAGCACCGGAATCAGACTCCCAACAGGTTTTGGATTCGATTCCTCAACATAAATACCAACGAACCGATTTTTTATCAAAGTGGTGGCGAAATGGATGGTTCACGGCCCCCTGCATGGCCTACCTTTTTAATCCGCAAATTCATCGGGGACCATTAAAAGACAATGAACAAGTGACAAACACATGGCCATGGGTCAAAACCCGTACCCCCAGTAAACATCTCAATCCCCACTAAAATAGACTAAAATGGGTGGTGCACCTACCCCAAAATAGTACCATTGGTTTTGACCCACAGCCACATGTTTGTTGTCTTTTGGTCTTCGATGGATTTCGGCACCATCAATCCACCCAGTTTGGCGCAGGGATTCTGAGCCCTGCGAACCGCCCACAGAAATCGCGAATGTCTGTCTGAGACGTGCGAAGGCCACTGCGGCCGGATTTTGACCACCATCCTCTACTTGAACGATGACTGGCGCGAAGCGGACGGCGGCGCCATCCGACTCTTCGAGGTCGTTTTTTGTTTCTTTTACGGCCGGAGGAGCAGCGTCTCCGAGGGGGCCGGTTTAAAGGGGCAGGGTGGGACCGGGCTCCTGAAAAGATACATGTTGCAACCATTCGGTCGCTCACGGAAAGGGGCGACTAAAGCCGCGGCAGAATGGGTAAAAAGGCTAGAATAAGGGTACCCGATTTTTTCTGTAGTCTATTTTAGTGGGGGAGCCCTCCCCAAAAAAAAACGGATTTAGAAGGGCACTACTGGGGGTTGATTGGAATACCACTCACATGGTCCAGACCCAAACAGCACGGAAGCCAGGAACTCGAGGAGTGAGGAACACTTCCCAAAAGCGCCAGGCTTGAATACTCAAAAATCCCGTCCTTTCCGGCCCTTTCTCAAACCCTCCCGAACGTTGTCCACCGGAATGTGATCATGGCTCCCTTACCCAGAGGGGCAGGTGAGTGGTTAGTAAGCCTGGTTGTACCCCACTTAGGAGCCTTATAACCATGGATGATAACCATCAGTGGTGAATTGTAGTATTTCACCAACCTGAAATATGGTGGTTGGGGGGCTATTCCACCACATAAACCACCATTTGGGGTGAATTCGGTCGTGTGAGGTCGTTGTAATTCAGACCCACTTCCTACAGGGATCCAAACATTGTACACCTGAACATTGCCTTGTACATGGCGGTTTCCCTTCATTTTGGTGGAAAACGCCACATGTTGCACCTGCAAGGAGCTACTGAAGGGTCCAGGGATGTCCCCCTCTCAGGGTCCGCTATCCTTTTTATTGGAGGGACCCGCTGAACAGATTGAAAAGGGGTGGTTTTCCGCTAGGAGCCGTCCCTTCAAAACCAGGCTCTCCTTCTGACCCCCTAAAAATGGGGTACCCCAAAGAAATGTTTAACGGGTCATGGAGAGTCCAGGTTCCCCGAACAAAAAAAGCGAGACCGCCATCCTTTTTGCGGTGTGCGCTCGATCCCGGGGTTTCAGGCGTCGCCTCCGCTCCAAGTGCGGGCAGAGCTTCTTCCGGAAGGCAACCGCCTGCTCTGCTTCTGGGCGGACGAGGCAGCCATTGAGGGGGGGTTTTCACCTGGCCGTTTGGCGGAGCCCACGTTTTTTGTTTTTCTCATGTTTTTCTCCTTTTTTTTCTATTGGTACCTTCCCCATTGTTTCCAGGAATCCTTCTTTCTTGAAGCCTTCAGAAACGCAGGGGAAATGGCTGGTTTTTGCAAAGAACAATGGTTGAAAGAAATGGGAAATCAACCCGTAGAATGGTGTTTGTCTTTTGGGTTTCCCCCAAGACTTGAAAGGGGCAAACGGGGCGGGCTCAGATCGGTTCGAACCGCATTCGTGATGCCCCAAGCTCAAAGGGCCAAAAACGTGTTTTAAAGTTAAGTACCTGTTGGGGAATGTTTCTATTTTCTGGAGGGGGGGTTAGCTCAGTCAGAGGAGCAGGCTTGGGTGGATTTAGTTTACCCTCCCTCCCAGAGCACTTGGCAGGGAATCCCTTTCAGAGGAAACTATTTTTCCAGGTGCCCTCACACAGGTGCCATGATTGCGGGAGAAAGCGTGATCGATTTGTCGGCTCTGAAGTTTAAGTCGACGGTTTGCTTGTCAACATCATCTTACTCCGACTCACTTCCCGAGTTCCTGGATTTTATACTTTCTGGGAGGACGATTTTAGCGGCAAACAACAAGTATAAACTCTTTTTGGCCAGTCCGCTCAGGAAGTGAGTTTGTATTTTCTGCCAAGTTGTGCTGCGAAAAGCTGGGCTCTGCGCCAGCCGTCGAGGTGCCCCATGAGGTGCTGCCGCCAAAGCGAGGCGCGAGTTGCGGGGGGGGCCAGAGTTCCGTGTTGCTTTTCGGGGAAAAAGGGGTGGCCGAAGCCATATGTGGCTGGGAGGGGTTGCGCTCAAAATTACTCTTGACTTGTTTGGTGAGTCATTTGGGCCATGTTGAAATTCGACGTTCTTTGGGGGGGTGATGAAAGGGGGCATGGGAATCCTGCTTGACTCATTGACCAGCGGATATTTTTTCTCGGAAGGTCTAGACCAAACAAAAACGACCCCCCGAAATAAAGTATGGCCTCCAACCCCGGCCAGTGGACACACTTTACGCTCTTTTCTTGGTGGCTTCCCCTTTAGTTTAGTGGTGGCCGAAAAAGTGTACACTTTTTTTTGGCAGGCCACTGGCTAAGGGAGCCAAGGCACACCCTTTTTTGGTTGGGCGTCCGCTTTTTCCGCCTGCACAACCAGGGAGTGACAGGATTGTGGGCATGGGGCCTGACCATAGGTGTCCTTTTTGCTGGCTTTGGTAGAAAAATAGATGGGTTTCGATTCCTGGTTTACCTGGTGGTTTAGTCATCTATCAGGGAAATCCATCGATTTTCCCTCAAAGGACACCTATGGGCCTGACGGTCCCTCCATAGCTGAGGAAGAAGGAAAAGGGGCACCTAGACTCTCCTTCTGACCCTTAAAGCAAATCAGACCAGTACGCAAAAGAAAGGGGTCAAATGGGCAACCATTTTTGAAGGGTCATGGAGAGTCTCGGCAGATTGACATCAATAGGGGAACCTTCTTGCAAGCCTTTCCCCAGTGGTACAGATCCCAACAGTTGGAAGGAGGAAGCCCTTCTCCGTTCCTCGGGTCCAATTCGTGTGTCAGGTTAGGTCCCCCCACCCTCTTACCCTTTTTTGGTTGGGAGCGTTGGTTCTCCTCTAAAATAGACTGCAGAAAGAATCGGGTACCCTTACTCTCACCTCTCTACTCGAGGGCCTCGGATTCAATCAGAGCCCCTGGAATTTTCCGAGAATCAGTCGCCTGGCCCAATCACCCGCACCAAAAGGCGCAACGCTCACATGGGACCCACCAAAGGGAGCATATTTTGTGGTGTCGTCAAGCCCTTTACTTACCCTTACCCATGCAACAAGAATATGGCTTCACCTGCCGTTCCAACGTGTTTTTTTTGTTGGATGTGTTTCCCTTTTAAAAGTGGTGAACGAGAAAGGTCGTCCCCTATTTTAAGACCCACCCAGTGTGAAGGACTTACCTTCCTTGTCGAGCGCCTTGTGCTGAGATCGCTTCGCCTGCACCTTTTGGTACCTGGATCGGGACGCCGACCCGCGCGGATGCCAAGCGTGCGAAAGCGATGTAGGGTGAAGTCTGGAATCCTCACCCCTTCAAAAATGGAATTGGGGGAGGGGGGTGACCCTGCAATTCCATTTTTGGTTCCATTTTTCTGTTATGGGGAAGACCCTTAAGGTAGGGAAGATATTCTGGAGCATCCTCTTGTCCACAACTAGGTCCCCCAGCTAGGTGCCCTGTCTCCCCGTTTCTTTTTTGGTTGGGAGGGTTCCCCTGCTAAAATAGACTACAGGAAAAGCTCGGGTACCCTTATTCTCACCTCTCTACTCTACTGGAGGGCCTAGACAACATGGAACCCACAAGAGGGTCACTGGAAAAGGAACATCTTCTTCTAGAGCCTCTCGAGGTTCCACGGCAACGAGGACCAGAGGCTAATCGCTTTGGCACCCTCCTTGGGTTACATGCGTGTCCCCCGCGAATGGACCGTTGCCACGAGTCGACCTTTTGCTCCATCTGGAGTCTGTGAGTCGAGGCAAACTAGGTTTAATCTTTGATTGGGATTTTTTTTTCTTTTTTTTTCCGGGGGGTTACTTGGGATTCACTTCGGGAATTTACATCATGCCCAATTCAAGCCTAGAACGAGCCGTGCGTATCCTTGACCCCTTGACTTGATCAAAGTAATTTTCTTTTGCAGGTCTTGCAATGGAAACAAAAACACTTGCCAGGGGTTCCAATTTGTTTCAGGTGGAATTCTCGCGAAACTTGGGGTGTGTGTTTTAGGGTACAGGGTACCCCCTAAAAAGGGAGACCCTCAAAGAGGACACCCATTACATCACAATCTGGGTGACCCCCCCCCCAGCCAATAAAAACAACAACGTGTTTTCTGGGTTTGGCCCTGGAAAAAAAACATGGAAGCGTCCGTGTAAATTGCCCCGCTGTGTTTTTTTCACATTTTTTCAGGGTCACTCCGGGCCCAAACGCAGGGAACAGCACACTTTCGTTGTTGGAGGGTCAAAAGAAAAACACTATTTGCGCAACTCTGTGTGGTTTGCGCGTTTCGTTGAGGCGAAATACAGATTTGGACAAAAACGGAGTGTGGAAATGGTCCGTTGCTGTGTCGTTTTGTGAATTTGTTGAGGCGAAACCGTAGTTTCAGATTTTGGCGAATCCGTAGTGTTACTATTTTTTAGGGGGAAGGGGCCGTCATATGTGGCCGCGAAGCAAGTTTGTGCTTTACCTTGCCAGCTGACCCATCATATTTCCTGATAGCAGATTGAAGTTGGCTGGTTCTGTTTTATGTTTCTATTTGCATTATTTTCGGCGTGGAAATCGCACCTCTAAAGTGTTGTTCATGTGTCTTCTTGGGAGGGACTTTGAAAATTGGGGCGTGGGCTTTCACACCTCATGGTTCTTGCGATTGTTCTTCTTCAAAACACAACGTTCTGTTGCGGGCAAACTGGACACGCGTAAGCAAGACAGCGCGCCCGCCACGGATACGCGAGCGCGTTTCCACGACGTCACGCAAAGTGGACCGCCACCACGACCACAGAAACGGCAAAGACAAAGACAAGATGTCGAATGAAAGGGCCACCGGCACTGATCCGCCACAAAAAGTGACCTCAAGAGCAGGGTAGGTCGCAGTACTCCGGGTGAACCTGAAACCACAGCGCAAGGTTGAGACGGGACTCAAGATTGAAAGGAAAGTTGCAATGCGTAACAAGAGCACCACGCACAAAGCAAGCACTACGTCGTCATAGGGCAGCATGAACCGACGCCTGTGAGCACGCACACAAGTACAGCGGGCTTGAAATTACAACCAAACACAATGCGGCAAGAACCGGACGCTAGCAAAAACTTTTCCTTTAATGCCACCAACGAATTCGGGTACCCATTCTAGCGAAACCTGGGTGACCCCCAAAATATCGTGGTGGTGGTTTCGGTACCCTCCAAAAAACAAAAGAGAAGTGGTTGTTCCTTTCAAGCCACAAAAGAAAGATACCCCAAAAGGCATGGTTTTGTTGTTTTCCTTTGGAGCAGCAAAAAAGATACGAGACCCTAGGGCTCAAACAAAAGCCATGCGCAAAAAACAGATGGTTTGGGAATGTTTCGTTTGAGAGCAAAAATCACAAAACGATACCCTCAACACAAAACTGCCATGTGTAAAAAAAACGGGTGGTGTTTGTTGTATTTTTTCCTTTGAGGCAAAACACGAAACAAACACCGATACCCTCAAAACAAAAAATGCAATGAGAAACACATGTTTTGTGTAGTTTTTCCTTTGAAGCAAAAACCAAACGCCACGTGCCAAAAACCTCTTTCGCCTTTTCCCCTCGGGCGCTTCCTCGCTTCGGGTCACCGAGAGCGACGCGATGTCCACGTGGCGTCCGAGGTCGTCGGTGGCCTTTGCTGAGGCTCCAGCGGTTCAGGTGGCCAGAGCGGCGGGCACCGACTTCTTGGATTGAAGAATCCGAGAAGTTCTCTCCATGGTTCAGTTGGAACACCCGGTCCAAAGTCGCACTGGCTTTCAGGGATCAGCAACCAAGAATGGAAGTCTTCTTAGATCGGAGCCCAGTTTTTGTGGGGTAGAGTCGGTAAATGGGAAGCCTCCCCGGAAAACCACCAAACCGGGCTGAAAAAACCTCCAATGGAAGGGAAGTCTCACTTCCTGAGTTCATGAAGCTTCAAACTTCTTGGATTGAAGAATGGAAGTTGGGGGAGGGGGGTGACGGGGTGGCCTGGAACTCCATGTGATATGTTTGGGTGACCCCCTGGACCCCCTGAAAGAAAGAGAGGCTAGGCCCCCCAGTAGTGCCATTTCACGGCAGCTAAAGCTTTGTCAGCTATGTCTTGATTGGAGTATTTAGTTGTTGGCCTCAGCTAGGGTCCCTTTTTAACCCCTTTTTTGGTTGGGAGGGTTCCCCTACTAAAATAGACTACAGAAAAAAAACTGGTACCCTTATGCTAGCCTCTCTACTGGAGGACCTTGACATGGAATGCTCAGTTCCTGAGTTCATGAGCTTTAGTCACTTTTGGGGTTGGACCATGTTAGTGGTAAATATGAAAGGTTGGACTTTTTTGTGGACCAGCCACTCAGCAAGTGAGAAGAATTTGGACCAATTTCCTGCAGAAACGCCTGCAGGTTTCTATGATTGACTTGGCCTGGTTCGCTTAGAACCTGGCGCTTAGTCCAAGTGCCCCTTCTTAGATTGACCCACCGTGGATGGACGAAATCCTGCACCACTTTGAAAACATGGGAAACCATTGTTTGTTGGTATTTACAGGGGAATCGAATCATTCCAGGGTTTCTTAGGTCGTGCAGGAGTTCGTCCATCCACAGTATAGTTGCCTTTGCCCCCTTACGGGGGTTTAGTCAGAATGCTGGCCGCAACCCTGGGACAAGAAACCACGACACATGCGTGTCCGAGTCCAAGTGTTTTCTTTTCGCCATTCTGCTTCTAGACATCCGCGGCAAAGCCGGGTTGGACAAATCATGCTAAACCATACCGCGGCCACTGTTCAAGGAGATCTGAAAGGATCCTACAAACAATTGGTGAGTTGGCATCATTCTAAGAAACCAACCAGAGGAAGTTCTACAGGAACCCCCTGATTTTGCTGGGAATTTGGCTCGTGTCCTGTAGAATTTTTACTGCTGGTTTCCATGAATCATGAAAAACCATGGGGGTCGACCCAACGGTTTCACGCCCCGTTCTCTTGGCACAAAGCTCCTTGCGCGCGTGCGCGGCAAACTCGCTGGCCCCGGCCCGACCGCCCAAAGTGGCGAGATTTGTGCGGGGCAAAGACCAAAGCTGCCGTGCTCTGTGGTCCCGCGGGTTTTACCCATCCCGCCCAACTGGAGGGCGACAGATCCGGAGATCTCCTTTCATTGTTCCATTTATGTGAAATAGGCCATGGTAAGAGAGATGTTTATACATTTCTTAACGCTAGCATATAGGATGAACAGGGTTCGGTAGAAAGATGCATCCCACGACCAACTTGCTTTGTGTGGACTTCCACATGTGCATGAATGGACATCTTGGCGATATGTCTAAATTTGCTCTCCGAAATGCTGGATGTCACTGGATGTCCGCTTGGTGTCCCTTCAATCCATGCTTGAAGGGACCATTTGCTTGGGAGTAAAAACTGGGACTCCACGGCTTGTGAGCCCCTTCGACTTTTAGACCTTTGGGTTTCGGGTTTCTTTCAGGGTCCTTTTCAGGTCGGTTTAAAGGGAACGTCCCGCTGTTTTGACACGTACCCAAAAAAAGGGGGTTTAGAGGGTTTTAGGACACAGCCCGTTCAATTGCAAAGCTTGACCGTCTGTAAGGGATCAACCACTACGAAGCATCGCGGAGGTTGTCCGCCCCATTTTCGGGGGCAACATGGGGGACACAGCTGTCCAACATGTGACCTGGTTGACTTGCACTGGAGCTGCAGGGCATTCGTGCCTAGACAAGTTTCTGGTTTTCAAACAGGTTCCGCCAGGTGCCACTATGAAATCCAATCCCACCATTTCACGGCAGCTACAGCTTTATCAGCTATGTCTTGATTGGATTAAATAGTTCTTGGTGGCTCCCAGCCATCCCCTTAGTTTTTCAGCCTTTTAGTGTTTAGTGGTAGTCTCCATTTAATCCACTAAAAGTTATTAACTTTTTCGCGGGGGATCAGAAAACAGGCAGCCCAGAGTTGTTGGACTCAGGTATATTTTAATCCCTGTCAGAGAGAGGGATCAATGCAGGATGGCAACTGGCGCTGTGAAGGCTGCGGCCGCTCGCCTGCAAGCTAGAGTCGGGTTTCGCTTCCGTGGATCAAGGCATCACTGGCTGGGCCCAACTTGAGTGTTCACCCAGGCCCCCAAGGACGTTCATCATGTTCATCACAGTTGAATCATCATCATCAGCATCAGCATCAGCATCATCATCAGCAGCATCATCATCATCATCATCATCATCATCATCATGAGCATCATCATCATCATCAGCATCAGCATCAGCATCAGCATCATCATCATCATCATCATCATCATCAGCATCAGCATCAGCATCAGCATCAGCATCATCATTATCAGCATCAGCATCAGCATCAGCATCAGCATCATCATCATCATCATCATCAGCATCAGCATCAGCATCAGCATCAGCATCATCATCATCATCATCATCAGCATCATCATCATCATCATCATCATCATCAGCATCAGCATCAGCATCAGCATCAGCATCATCATCATCATCATCATCATCATCATCAGCATCATCATCATCATCATCAGCATCAGCATCATCATCATCATCATCATCATCATTAGCATCATCAGCATCAGCATCAGCATCAGCATCATCATCATCATCATCATCATCATCATCATCATCAGCATCAGCATCAGCATCAGCATCAGCATCAGCATCAGCATCAGCATCATCATCATCATCATCATCAGCATTAGCATTAGCATCAGCATCAGCATCAGCAACAGCATCAGCATCATCAGCAGCAGCATCATCATCATCATCATCATCATCAGCATCAGCATCAGCATCAGCATCAGCATCATCATCATCATCATCATCATCAGCATCAGCATCAGCAGCATCAGCATCAGCAGCATCAGCATCATCAGCATCAGCAGCATCAGCATCAGCAGCATCAGCATCAGCATCAGCATCAGCATTAGCATCATCAGCAGCAGCATCATCATCATCATCAGCATCAGCATCAGCATCAGCATCAGCATCATCATCATCAGCATCAGCATCAGCATCAGCAACAGCATCAGCATCAGCATCATCATCATCAGCAGCAGCATCATCATCATCATCAGCAGCATCAGCATCAGCATCATCATCATCATCATCAGCATCAGCATCAGCATCAGCAACAGCATCAGCATCAGCATCATCATCATCATCAGCAGCAGCATCATGATCATCATCAGCAGCATCAGCATCAGCATCAGCAGCATCAGCATCAGCATCAGCGTCAGCATCATCATCATCATCATCATCATCCTCATCAGCATCAGCATCAGCATCAGCATCAGCATCAGCATCAGCATCAGCATCATCATGAGCATCATCATCAGCATCAGCATCATCATCATCAGCATCATCATCATCATCATCAGCAGCAGCAGCAGCATCAGCATCAGCGTCAGCATCATCATCAGCATCATCATTAGCATCAGCATTTTCATCATCATCAGCAGCAGCAGCATCAGCAGCATCATCATCAGCATCATCATCATCATCATCATCATCATCATCATCATCATCATCATCATCACCCGGTCTTCATTATCACCTGGTCATCATCATCACCTGGTCATTGTCATCGGTCAGAATTAATCATTGTGACGGTCATCGCCATCATCATGTCCATCTTGTCATGTTGACCGACTACCGTTTCAAAAACGGGTGCCCGATTTGCCACGGAACTTCACCGAGTCTTCAAGCTGACTTGCAGATGGAAACGTCATAGAAGCCCAGCATGATAATGATAGCTTCCCCCAGCCGGAATTGGTCACACGGATTTGAAGCCCTGATTCTAGAAAAAGCCAACCAAATCTCAGGGGGCTTTTGGGGAGGGAGAGGAGGGGGGGGGAGCCCAAACTAGCTCTTCTTAAGCGGGCCTGCATGGTAATGCCATCTTCGGGAAAGTTGGCTCGCCCTAAGGGTCGATGGATTATTTTTGGGCCCTCAAAAAATCTGGTTGTTTTCCATTGGGCCGAGTTGTTTTCGGGTTCTCCGTTGGTCCTGGTCCTCCGGGTCCGGGGGGGTGCAGAGGGGTCATGACCCACGTGTGGCACTCCCTTCGGTCGGAGGACACCGCGCCTTCGGCGCCTTCGTCGCCCAACGGTCTGAGGCAACGTGAACTTCCCGCGGCGCCAGCGCTGCAACAAGTGCCGGGCGCCCAGCAAGGCGTTGGGTGGCCAAGCGACACCCATAGGTGTTCTTTTTGGTTGTGGTCGAAAAATAGATGGCGGTTCCTGGTTTACCTGGTGGTTCAATCATCTACCAGGGAAATCCATTTGAATCTATTTCCCCCGAAAAGGATTGCTATGAGCTCGCCCGTCCCAGGTTGCAAAACGAGCGGTTCTTTGAGCGGCCATAAGACATCGGGATTTCGGATTGCTGTTCAGCTTTCAGGCTTTCAGGGGGAACCAAGAAGAAGTTGTTCAAGTAAAAAGGTGTCTTTTCCCGAAGAAGGGGCGGGGGTTGGGAGTGCTTGACTTTATTCCAGGTGCTCACTATTTTATGGGACACCCGCTTGAGCCTGAAAAGAGTGAACGTGCCCGGTTGACCCTCCAAAAGTGATGAATCCCTGCAAAGCGGGGGACATCCCCCATATGTATCTTCCCTTTGGGACAAATTGAATGTGCCATGGTCTCTAGAGACCACCCAGCTTTGTGGCCCCACAACCCCCAAACCCAAACCAGCCCCAACGCCCCCAAACCAGCCCCAACCCCAACCCCCCCCAAACCAGCCCTAACGCCCCCAAACCAGCCCCAACCCCAACCCCCCCCAAA